TTAAAAGAGAGAGATCTGAAGGGAACAGCTCTGTGAGTACCACAGTTAACCAGAACTGTAATCACAAGTACACATGTATTATTTAATCTTATCCTCAACTCTGTGAGTAAACAAGGCGATTGAGACAGTAAGTAACTTGTCTTAAGTCACTTGGCTAGCAGGGAATAGACAAAATTGTAGCTTTGAGAGGAGTGTGACTCATGCTTAGGCACTCAAACTCTTTACACTATGCTGACTGTATGCAGTCACTAAAAAGTGAACTTCCTTCTATAACTTAACTATATTGTTTTTCATGATGTTTCATGGATCTAAAAAATGTCTAATTACCTTTGCCATACTAGTTTCTGAAAATTGATTTGTTTTCATTAAGGGTGTGTGTTCAAAACGTGCGGGTTTAACTCTTTGAACTTTGATGCATGTCTTCACTTGTCAGAGAAATACATTATGCTAGTTCTGCCCCATCCCTAGTATATTGAAATTGTAGTACAGATCTGCAGCTACAGTAAGCAATTCTCTGAGGATGAAGAAAGGGACTGTACATTCACATAGGAATTTCTTTTCCAGAGCTAAAATTGACATTTTATAAATAATTTCCATGTTGCAAACTTGAGACCAAGAAATCACAGCAATTCAGTGATACACATTTGGCATGAGTCAGTTTTAGTTCTTAGTGCTTTTCATTGGAAATGGCATAAAAAGTAAGATATCTCTGAATTTTTTATGCTATGGGCTTACAAGAGACAGAAAATGTTTTTATCTTATAGTCGCATGGCAGTGCATGGCAGCAGAAGTAACTAAATGGTCACAAACCTCCACAGTATTTCCCAGGTCACATTCATTCTTAATTTTTAAAGAATCTAGAAACAGACCAACCAGTTGATAACAAGCCATTTCTAGGCAATAGTGTTTGGTGTGGTGTTGTCCTTCTTCTCATTTTCATAGTGATTTAGAGATAGGTTCTGTATGTCACTAAGTTTTCATGCTTTTAAATATGTAACCTAGATGGTCACTGCGTTGTCTTCCTCCTTTTTCTTTTGTAAGTACTTAGCATATTCATTACATATTCATTTATTTCTAGCTGTAGGTCTTAGGCTGATCTATAGTCATGAAAGATTCTGATTATTTATGTCCACTTAGCCCTGTAAGCTCAGGAAAATGAATGCATTATAAATGTTTTAATCTCAGTTCTTTCTTTTGCTGTGTTTTTGAAACATTTGCATTGGTCATTAGCTTCAGTGTAAGTGCTGCTGAAAGTGCCTCTGGAAGCTACAGTGAGGAGGAGAGGCATTAACAGTAACCACTGCCAGAAGTATATATGTAATAAAATAACTGTCATTAAAATATGCTGAGTGTTGCTTAAAAAAAATGTATCTTCCTTTGAATGTAAAAATAAGGATTGCAATGTATGCTTTAGAAATTAAGTTTGGTCTTTTAGTGACCTAGGGAAACATGGATTAAAACAGCATATCGAATGAACTGTGGTATACTCATAGAAGAAGTAAAAAAAATATGGATTAAATGAATATGAAAATTATTAGAGCTTAAATCCTAAGCCAGATTCATCATTAAAATGAAATGATAGGTCCTTGACCCTTGGGTGTGCTTGGAATAAACATGGAACTCGGTATTGTTTTCCAAACTCTTTTGCTTTTGTAAGCTAAGACAGATGTACAAGAAAGATGCAGTTTTTATTTTGTATTGGCAGCTTCCAAATATTTAGTATCTATTTCCAAGAGTTGCAATTAGTAAAGCAACCATGGTACTGAAGTCTGCACATCCCACAGCTAATTATATTTGCAAGGTCAGAGTGAATACATATTTTCAGAAAAATAAAGGGTTATATAAATATGTGTCTTCTACTTGGCTGTTATATCACAGTTTGTTGATCTGGAGTATAATGTGTACAATTCACAAATTTGTCTGATAACAGAAAGTGGTGTGTGATTGTGTTTATTTTACTAACCAGTATATTCACAGCAATCACTTCCAAATATCTCTCCAGTAAAGATGTGTTAATTACAAAACAGACAAGGTCTTCTATTATATTAAAGCTACTAACAAGAAGACAGCAGGAATCACACATGTAAATAGCATCATCAACCCCTATTTTAGTCCTCTGTTTTGATCTGTGAGTTGCGCATAGACCAAAGGTGCTATTAAAGACTGAGTGTATGAAATAGGCAGCATTATATGAACAAAATTTATTCAACAAGAAAACAGACCTTTAACATGAATTTAACAAGCCTGAGAAATTATAAACTATCATATGCTGCAGATTCATGCAGTGATAATAAACAAAAAAAGGAAAGTAAGAGGTTTCCCTAAGCTAGCCAAACTGCTAATGGTTTTGTTATAAGCTGTCTACTGTTGCAGTGACCTCTGAAAAGTCTCAAGGCACTTGTACCAGAAAAAATTAACTGGTCAGGCTAGGAAATAGAGATTCAGTGGGTTTGCAGAGCTTCAGCATGGACAGGAATTTTTTTATTCTTCATTCTTCAGTGTGGAGGTTATTGTTTTCTGTGGGGAAGTGGTTTTGATGCAGGTTTTTTTTTTTGTTTCTCTTTTTTTTAAATTTTGAGGCACACTAGACAAACTAGTTTCATGTATACACATTTCAAAGTGAGCCATAAAAAAACAGAATGATGAAAGGATGGATTATTCTTTCTTCCCCTGCTCCCTTCAGTATCTTAAATTCTTAGAAGCTCTTTGTTTAGTACATTACATCTTGCATTTATTTTCCTAACTATGGAGTGACCACTTTGCTGTCATTCTGTTGCATCATTCTGTAAATACACAAACATGGAGAAACACCCTGAGCCTAAACACACCTCCAAGTTCTCACTAGGGCTTTTTCTTGAATCTTACTGTGGCATAATTAACACCTTCTTCACCCATTGCTCATTAGTGTACTGGACATTAATGAGTCTATTTTGATAGGTTGTTCTAAAGAAAAATCCCCCTTATTCTCACAGCAGAAAAGGCAATTATAAAATTGTACAGAAATTAAAATGTAGAATATATTGCCATATTTTTTATTGCATGCTAAATCTAATTTTGGTCTGCAGGTTTTTGAACATGTTAGTTTCCTTAAGACAGTTGCTATAGCAATGGCAGAAAATTTCTTTAATCTTAGTGTAATCATTTCTATTGTTGCTCAGGAACTATCAATCTGAACATGTCATTTCATATGGATCATAATTTTTTAGTTGAACAACACATTAAATTCTTAAAGCGTTGTGAAGTACTCAAATTTAAAAAAATTTCAGTGTTAAAAATAGGTCAAGGTATCCCCCAAGACTTAACTGCCATTTTCATTTTCTTTTTATGACGTTTTATGCCTGCTAATATATTGCATAGAAATCACACATTTTTGCATGAAAATTGCCATCTAATGTTTTAGTTTGAAAGCAGTTAGTATAAAGATGTACAGAAACATTTCATTGGGATATAAGATGAAATTTCCATAGTTTGTGACATTTTTCCTAGAAATGATTTTTTGCTGAACTCTAAGATTGGAATAATAAAGCAGTTGAAACAAAACTAATGATTTGCTTTCTTATATTTACCATTAATAATTAAAACCAGTTGTGTAGGGTTATGGTTAAATACTTGGTTTTGGAGCAAAAGGAATTTGGGGAAAAATTCAGACCAGAAGAATTAAAAGCAACATTAAAATTTACCATTATCATTATTAGGACAACTGAAGTGTACAGAGACCTTAGATTGTCTTGTCATAATGTTTTGTTGTGATTTTATGATTGCTGTAACTATAACCTTTAGAAACATTTCTTTGTGTGAAACAGGGCCTCATCATGTAACTCTGGCTGGCTTCAACCTCACAGAGGTCTGCCTGACTCTGCCTCCTCCAGAATGCTGGGATTAAAGGTGTGCACTACCAGGCTTGCTAAGAAGCCCTTAAGATAGATTTTTAGACTTGATTATATGATTATATTACAGTTGGCTTAACTTGTAAATAATGGTTTTTAACATTTCAGTGTACTTTCACAAGTTGTATAACTGAAGAAAAATCTGGATAACGGTGATTTTTATAAAATGCTGACAGTCTCAGTTGTTAATACTTTTAAAGGTAAATCAAGAAATACTATACTTTCAAGTCTTGTTTCAAGATTGTCTTGGAAAGAGACAGTCTGACTTAGTATCACAAGGTTTTACTTGAAACTTCACAGTTTTAAAAGCTTTAAGTGCTTTCAAATTCAAATGATGACTGTAAGCACGTCAGCAATATGATAGTGGGAACTAGCTGATATGTGAGAGCTAATTAACATGATACTGGGTTATGAAGGAATTTGAATCTCTAGTAGACAAAAAGATGTATATATAGTTGTAATCTCTTTTCTATGAACTCGTAACCATGTTATATTGTTTCTGACTGAAAGCATGGGTGACCTTGGTTTTCTTATATTGTACCTCCTCCGCTTGGCAGTGACTTGGATGTTTAAAGCCATCAAACAAGGTATGAAGTATTTCAGAGTCAGAAGAAGTAAAGGCTATCTGACTAGTAGAGAATACATGAGCAAGTGACGTGCTGGCTGCAATTTTGTTGTCATTTCAAGTACTGTGATGGTGTAATTGATGTGACAGGGCTGGGTCTTAGATGTAGTCCCTTAGCTTGTGCTCACTTTCAGTTTTAGTTTCCCTGTCACTCATTTTGACTAGGGAAATTTTAGGTAACAAATAAGAACAACAATGAAGGTTATTTGATGTATGCTTAGTAATGACATATTTTTAATAATAAAGATGCTAAGTTAATGTTTTGCTGCTTCATGGAAATCGCAATAATTGGTGTCACCTTATATTACAAGATAGAGGGTGGTATACTGATGGCACTATCAGCAGGAGGTTCTTTTTATTAATATTATAATTAAATGATTTTCTGGAAATAGGCCAGAAACAGATGCAAGTTGATCTTGCCTTGTCCACTGTTGCTTGGCATCAACACTTGTTTTTAAAAAGAATTGACTTGACACCTTGTTTTACAGGTTGTTATTGATGCCTTCAGATTGATCAATGCTAATATGATGGTCTTAGGACATGAACCAAGACAAACAACTTCAAATCTGGGTCACTTAAACAAGCCATCTATCCAGGTAATGACTGTATTTGATAATGTGTTAGAACTCTGTTTTATAATGTTTAAATATGCTGTCATCATTGTAAGATCTAATTCTTAATCATTTTAATTTTCCTATAAAAGTCTTTTGTTATTGTTGTTTTAAAAGAGAATCCCAGCTTCTTTTGAGGCTTTAAATTTGAACTCAGCATGTGCAACAGAACAGAACTTATATATGTATTTATAATTCTTTTCTTGATATTAAGAAAAGATGAGCTGGGTGATGGTAGCATTTACCTTTAATCCTAGTACTCAGGAGGCAGAGACAGATAGATCTCAGTGAGTTCAAGGTCAACCTGGTCTACACTTCTGTCTAGTTAGTGTCTAAGAAGAGGACCAGTCAAAGTATTAGGTGGTAGCAGTTAGCCAACTTACTGATTTCTAAACAGTCTTTAAAGAGAAAAAAAAAAGAGTAAGGTTAAAACAGGCAGTATATTTGAAGAGGTTATAAGAAACAGTTCTTAGGTAGTACTTAACTCTTTCTCCTTTTTTTGCTTTATTCCCACCTTTGATTAAAATCCTATAGGGCACATGAAAACAATACTTTTGGTAAATTTATATTTTGTTCATCTAGTGTTATCAACCACTGTTACAGTAGTTGTTGGGAGTTCAAACACTTAATATCCTTTGAGTGATAAGTGTTTTCTTTGTTCCATTCACATTGTTTAAACACAAGTCTTTATGTCTGTAAGAAATTATGTTAAATGTGTTTTTAAGTGCACAGTCTATGTAGGTAATTATTTCTCTAAAGATTAATTAATAGGACAAAAATACCATGTTTAATTACATAGAACACTCAAGACAAAGACATTATAGTAGCTACTGCTATTCCCCTCCGTAACCTTGTTTTGCCTCAAGGTTGTCTTTGGGGAGTTGTGGCATTAGCAGTTCACCGTGGTCCAGCTTGGTTATACTCGAAAACTTTGTGTTTTTAAATTCTTTTGCTGTTGTCATTCATTCTAGCTCTTCATCATGTGAAATGTTTTGTCTCAAGGAACTGAGTATGTTGCTTTTGGAAAAAAATTTTTTTTTAACAAGTTAGGGAGAACTACGGAGAATAATGAGTATGAAATAAGCTACCAGTGATTTTGATTGGGCACAGACAAGCCCATACTTGCATGTTCCAAGAGAATATGGGTCTGTTTAGCCCATGATAATGACCTTTCTTGTACACCCCATAGCACCATCCCGCTTCATTATTTTCTACAAAAGGTTAAGTAGCATCTCACAATCTAGAATCATTGTGATTACTATATGGTATATTTCTGCCAGAAGTTTTCACTAATTGCAAGTCACCAGCTACCTGTTGCATATTTCTTTTTTTAAAATTAGAATGCTGTCTTTTAATTTAAAAGATAGAATTGATATTGATCTGATTCTTCTGTATCAATCCACTTGGTAGTTTTTAATCCTGTCTTCTATCTGGAATTAAAAATGACCTTTTGAAAGTTTTCAAGCCTAAGTTAAAAAATGGCATTATTTTTCCATCATTTTAAATTTGTTTTTCTTCCCAGTTAGAATCTGTAAATATATTTATTTCACAGTTTATGTAGTTCCCATTAGAATGGCATCTGTCTGGGTGCTTTACAATTTTAGGACAATTTCAACACTAAGGCACACAAGTAGGATCAAGCCAAAAAGGGGCACACACCTTAAAATTCTTTTATTTTGTAAGACAAGCTAGATGGAAAATCCACAATTGAATTTGAATGTCCCCATGTCACATTTCTAAGGTGGTGATAGAAAACTTTCAGAAATAGCATGCCTTTTGTCTTGAAGAGAAAGTTGTGTTAAGAGGAAACTTATTCCCAAGACAACTTAGAAGTTGTAGAAGTATGATAGCAGTCACTAATGTACACTCTGAAAGTCATTGATAACTCTCTAGCACTCGTGTGTCTATTGTACTTAAAGATGTAGGAGAATATTGTGATCACATTCTAAACTATTTAATAGTTACAGGACAGTTTAAATGGGATATACAAGTGCCTCATGTAGTAAGTACATGTTTTAGAACTTGTACCTATTTATTTATAACAAGATGTTGGATTCGCTTATTTCTAGGTAGTAGACTAATGGGATTAGATCCTTTGTTTTCCTTATCCATATTTTTAAAAACTTTGTACAGTAAAGCAGTATCTTTACAAAATAGTATTTTATGTGTGAGAGTTTTGCCTGCATGTATGTTTGTGTACCACATGTATGCTTGGTGCCCATAGAGGTTGGAAGAGGGCATCAGATCCTTTGGAACTGGAATTCTGTGTCATTGTGAACCAATGTATGAGTGCTGGGAATTTAACCCTGTCTTCTGGAAAACCAAGTGCTCTTAACCTTTGAGCCATCTTTTCAGCCCCAAGAAAATACTGTTTTTAAGGGCTCATGGCAATTTTGAATTAATTAACTAATAGTAAAGTTTATTTTGACTTTCAGAGAACCATATATAAGTAACCATGCTATTGGCTTCTATATTAATACAAAAAGCTATATTATTTTGAACATGGACTGTTTGACTATTATTGTCAATGTTTAGAAATGGCAGTATTTTTTTTAATGATTAAATCTTTTAAGTATTCCATTAAAAACATGTTGGGCTTTTGGTGTTTTAGATCCTTAAATGCCACAATAAATTTTGGAGTTGTCATCGTTTTGGACATTAGTAAATACTGGTGCCCCAATGTATGCACTGGGCTTTGAATCTCTAAGTGTGGCCCTGAGCATGCTTACATTGTGCAATAGAGTTAAAGTATTTGAAAACATTATTTTCAGTGATTATAAAACACAGAGATATAAAACAACAACCGTGAAACTATTGTAACAGCCCTAAGACATTCTGGATGAGGCAGCTGAGGCCCAGAAAACTGAGCTGCTTGAGTTACTGCTAATTTATGCAAGAACTGCTAGATCTTCTCATTCTTTTATATTATACTTGGGAATTTAATTAAATAAATGTTTGGGATAATTCATATGTTGCTTGTGTGATGGTTGTGTTTTGTTTTGAGACAGAGTCTCACTGTGTATCCAGGCTGACCTGACTCTGTGTAGTCTAGGGTAGCCTCAAATCCAGAATTGTGCTTTAACCTCCTGAGTGCTGGGATTACAAGCTTGTGCTGTAATGCCCAGCAAGCTGATTTATCAAACACCTGCTGTGTCACAGCCGGTAATGTATGGAGGTTAACCATAAATACACTGTATCTATACCTGCAGCTCTCAACCTGTGGGTTGCCGCCTCTTTGGGGGTCAAAAGACCTTTTCACAGGGGTTACCTCAGACCACCCAAAAGCACAAATATTTATAATATGGTTTATAACAGTAGCAAAATTAGAGTTATGTAGTAGCAAAGAAAATAATTTTATGGTTGGGGGTCACCAGCACATGAGGAATGGGATTAAAGGGTCACAGCATTAGGAAGGTTGAGAATCACTGTTCTATACAGTGCTCCTGTATGAGTTTATGGTCTGGGATGAATACCCTAGAGGTATGTAGTAAATGAGTAAGTAAAATTGGAAGACTGTTGGCTCTTTGTTTTACCATACACTTGCTAATGAGTAATAAAATTGAAGAACAAATAGTGTCACTAAGCATCAGGTTATTTGTTTCATTGACACTGGTGATTAATCTTTAAAATTAGGCCAGTATGTGAAACAGTGATTGGCCTCTGGGTTTATTTGTCAGAACCATTGTTGGTTTTGCCACCATGTAGATTTTGTAGTGCAGTTAGTCAGTGTTTTGTGCAAAGATCCTTGGATGATAAACAGTTAAATTCAAGCTCCACTCCCCAGTCAGGCCTTGTCTGCTTAGAGAAAGTTCATTCTTACCCAAATCTCTACCCAGAAGGTACACCTGATGTGTGCAAGGGTTAGTTCAGGGTTAGAGATTCCATGATTAGTTCTACTCCTGATCTGTATGGTACATTTTCATTCAGTGAAAGGTGACCTACTACTTCTGGTAATTATTGTAAGAGGATAAAGATTTAATAGGTTCTCTTAGTGGCTAAATTTCATGTAACCACTATTTGAAATCTACTGTTTCCTGTTGGCTTTATGGGTTAGTTTTATAAAAGATATTAGTAATGTGAAGATTGGTTACCCTAGGAAATATCATTTAATACTTAAATTTCAATTCTGATGGAGTGATTTTTTTAAATCAGTAAATCTTTAGAATAAGACTGTTCTTAAATGTATAGACTTAATCTTACCAGGGATTGCATTGTAGCACAGTACATCAGAATGGACATGGGTTATAGAGTCAGTGATCTGGCTTCAAATCCTCAGTGCTACCTCATATTAGCTATTAATTAAGATAAATTAAGAGTTAAGCCCCCCCCCTTTAACTCTTCTGTTATATACATATAGTCTGAGTCTACTAGATTGTTGCATTAGAATGTGTGGAATATAAAGCACATGCTAGGCAATCATCTCCTCTGTCTTAGCACTTTTAAGACTTAGATGGTAAAAACCCTAATTAGGAAGCAGTGGTTATTTGGTTAGCTCTGTCTTTATTTCCCGACAGTTAACTCCAAATCCTTTTGATTTTTTTACAATTGTTAAAAAATTATTAATTTAAATTCTATGCCTTTGTGTCTTAGGAGGCTTATGGTGTTTTTTAAATATATATATATATACATATATATATACATACATACATATATATGTGTGTGTGTGTGTGTGTTTCTTGAATACTATTATGAACCATAGTTGAACTTATGTTGCTAGAGTGTTAGATATTTAAGCAGTATACAACATAGTTATTTTTAATTTTTAATATAAAATCATTCTTTTTTCCCACAGTATATTCTAATCACTGTTTCTCCTCTTCCATCTGCTTCCAGATCTTCCCCACCTCCCCACCCACCAAACTACAAGCCTTCTTTAGAAAATAGGCAATGAATGAATGAATGAATGAATAAGAAAAAAAGCCTAAGAACCTTCACACAAACAAAACACATAATTGGAAACCATAATATTGAAACAAAAGACCTGTAAGATTAAAAAATAAAAGTTTCCAACTAAAGCAATTTGAGACAAAAACAATCTACAAAAATACCATTGAGTTAGTTTTGTGTTGGTTATCTACTGCTGGGCCTGGGACCTGCCCTTATTTATGTGTGGTTTGTATGCCCAGTGAGCCTTAATTGGGGAAAACTGATTTTCGTTTGGGAGTGGTGGTCATTGGTTAGGATGGGAGTCTGTGCACATTCCCCCTCTCAGAGCTGGGCCCCGTCAGTCTTGGGTCTGTGCAGGCCTTGTGTGTGCTGCCACAGTCTGAGTTAATATGTGTGTCAGTCCTGTGTGTCACCCCTCCCCCTGGCTCTTAGCAATCCTTCTCCCTTCTCATACACATGATCCCTGAGGAGTGGAGCTTGATGAAGACAGCTCATTCAGGACAGAGTGTTCCAAAGTCTCTCACTACCTGCACATTGTCCATTGTCCAGTTGTGTGTATTAGTTCCTATCCTCTGCAAGCTTCTCTGATGATAACTGAGAGAGACAATGTTGTTAGGATCATTTTGTTGCACATTGCTTTAGCAGAGCAATAATATTTGGTTTCCCCCTATAGTTACTTCAGCTTAAGTTTTTGTTGTGACTGACCTATTTATCTTGGAGATTGAATACAATGAAAATAAATTCTGATGAGTGAGATTTTGATTTCTTGTTACTGAATTACGGGTGTGAGTGAGGGGACATGTTAAAGAACAAGCTTCTGGATCTCAACAGGTAGCTCACTTGGTGACACTGCAGACACTCGACAGACATGAGGTCAAGTCAAAAGCCAGACAGTATGATTCTGTAATCCCAGCACTGAGCTAGGGCAGACAGACCCCAGAAGCCCATTCCCAGCCAGCAGAGCACAGTCAATAAGGTCCAAGTTCAGTGACTAGATCCTGTCTTAAAAGTTAAGGTAGAGAGCAATCAAGGAAGACTCTTCAAGTTGACCTTAGGTCTCTGCATGCAAAGACACACAAATACATGGGCACATATGTGAATTAGTACACACGTGCGTGCGCGCGCGCACACACACACACACACACACACACACACACACACACACACACACACACACACACCTCTATCTTCCTCATTGCTAATTTGGAGACTTGCCTGGACACAAAGTCTCTGAATTAGTTTAAGTTGAGTCAACATGGCACACACCTTTAATCCCAGCACTTGGGAGGCAGAGGCAGGTGGATCTCTGTGAGTTCGAGACCAGCCTGGTCTACAAGAGCTAGTTCCAGGACAGCCTCCAAAACCACAGAGAAACTCTTCAAAAACCAAAAAAAAAAAAAAAAAAAAAGGGAAACCCCAGATTAATGTGGATGGAGAAACACGTTGTACTGTTACAGAGTTTCAGATTTTTCTTTTGACATAGCTAATTCCTTCCTAAGCACTATAAAAATCAGTCAATAAATTATGGGTAGTTGGTTTGTTGTAAAGGTTATGATGAGTTCAGACATTTTGCTCTGGCCCCTTTGCAAGGCTATGGAAAGCTTTGAATAATTTGTCACCAGTCCTTTAAATGTTTATCATTGAGCTTGTGGGTGAGAAATATCTTAATTTACTCTGTGTTTATAATACAATCCCTTTAAATTTTACATCTAAACTATTACATTTACTTATGTCATGTTGAGGGGACTTGCAGGTGCCAGTTCTCTCCTTCTGCCATGTGGGTCCCAGAGATGGAACTCAGATGATCAAACTTGGTAGCAAGGGCTTTTACCAGTTACGCTAGGCATGGTGGGCACTTAGACCCTAATCCCAGGTCTCAGAAGCAGAGGAGGGCATATCTCTATGAGTTCAAGGTCAGCCCAGACAGAACTACATAGTGAGATTTTGTCTTTAAAATCAATAAATAAAGGTGATGTGGAAGTATCGTGCATATGCTGTGTCAGCAGTTTCAAACGTTTGTATTTGATTAGGCGAAGATTAACTCATCATTGAAAATTGTTTCTATAGGCATTAATTCATGGATTAAACAGACATTATTACTCCATCACTATTAATTATCGAAAAAATGAACTGGAACAGAAGGTAAGTTAATGAAAAATCTTTTTCTTTTTAAAGAAAAAGTGGTTTAATTATGTCTATGAATGTTTTGCCTGCATGTACATGTATGTATGTATGTATGTATGTATGTATGTATGTATGTATGTATGTATGTATGTATATGTGCCACTTGCCCTTAGAGATCAGAAGAGGCTGTTGAATGCCCCGGAACTGGAGTCACCGCTGGTTGTAAGCGTCCAGATGTGTGTGCTGGGAACTGACCTCAGCAAGAGTAGCATGTGCTCTTAACTGTAGAACCATCTCTCCAGCCCCTTATATTTATATTAGTAGTTGTTTAGTTCATCTGTTCTCTCAGAACAAAAGCCCCACCGTTGCCCTCATCCAGCTAACCTGGATGTTGAGCCTCATGCCTTTTCTGAGTGTTCCAGTGGAACCCTTGTCCAGGCATAGTAGGGATGACTATGTTGGTAAAATCCCATTCTCATCATTTGGTTATGGGCGATGTAGAGCATGGGTGAGTGCAACCTTTGGTGCCATCAGCTGGGACATAGAGAAGATGGAAAGTAAGTGAAGAAAGTGGAATTACCTGGGCATAATACTCTCTGCTTGGGTTTGTCTTGTTTTGTTCTGTTCTTGACCCTGAGACCAAAGGTAGGGACAAGGGAACTTTTACCGTAAAAAGCTTCATAGTGATTTTGACATGTGACTTATTTTCCAGCAGAAAATAGACTTTGCACATCTATCAAAGTAGCTGCAAACCTCTAAGTAGGATAATTAAAAAACAAATGAGCCAACCCAAGTATTTCCAGAAGTTATATGTTTTTTGTGATTGAACATTTAAAGTACACTGTGGGGGGTTTTGTTTATGTGTGTTGGGGGGGGTGTCAGTTCATCTGATGTTAGGGATTATAAAGGCAGGGTCTTGTGTGTACAAGGGAACTATAACCCTGACCCTAACATGAACTACTGTGTTTATAGTGTCACAGTAGCATCAGTCTGTTGCTGTGATGTTTTCTTCACCTTTCATATTACATTCCGTTATCCTAAGAAAAAATAACTTTAATTCAGTGGTAGTTCTTAACTGAAGAAAATTATCTTAGAATCACAAGAATGTGCCTGGAGAGATGGCTCACTGATGCTGCTCTTAGAGAAGGCCCAAGTTTGGTTTCCAGCAGCCGCATTAGGCTGCTCACAGCTGCTTGTAACTCTAGCTTCAGGGAATCCAGTGCCCTCTTCTGGCCTCTCCAGACACATGCACATATTCACATGTAAGTCGATTTTTTAAAAAGGAGTAAGTCTTATGAAAAATTTAGGAGGATAGTCAGGGAAACAGAGGCATGGGAGGAAAACTGAACTTGGGCAGGTGAGATGGTCCAGCAGGCATGGAGGCTTCATTCCAAACATGCTGTCCAGAGTTCAGTACCTGGGACCCATGTGGCAGAGGGGCAGGACACTAAGTTGTTTTGATTCTTAACGGATAGCCGGTCCCAGGTTATTGGTGTGTTTGAAAAGTGAATATGTCTGTGATGTTTTTCCTAGTTTTTTTTAATCCTGTCAACAAGTAAATATTAAGTTTTTATAGCAAGCGTGTATAATATAAGAGTTCAGTGCAGCCTTTGATTCATTGTTGTCTCTCTCTCTTTTTTTTTTTTTAAACTGCTGTGGTTAGATATTTTAGAATCTAGTTAGACCCTAGGGAATCTTAAACATAACTGGATAAATTAAAGAAAAAAATGTTCATAGACAGTATAAAAGTAACAGCAGGACAAGGGAAGAAAACTCTCTTAAGACAACGAGAGATGGTTGTTTTCGGTTGGTGTAGTTAGGAAAGGCATTGTCTCTAATGAGAGAGGACCATGACTGAAGGCATGCAGAGAGGGCACAACTGAGCCAGCACCAAAGGCAAGGGCAGGAGCACCTGGGTATATTAATACAAATTTAGGATATTTCCAGCTGGCACTTAATTTGAATGAATAAAATTAAATTCGTTAATTTTTGTGAAGTTTTTTTTTCTCAAGACAGGGAAAGGAAATATTTTTAAGGTAACAAAATAATTTCCCTTTCATTATATCTTTAGATGCTATTAAATTTGCATAAGAAGAGTTGGATGGAAGGCTTGACACTTCAAGACTACAGTGAACATTGTAAACACAATGAATCAGTGGTAAAAGAGATGCTGGAATTAGCCAAGAGTTATAATAAGGTAAAAATCATCGTTTTCTTGGTAATTGTTAAAGTGTATATAATTAGGTATCAAGTGGTTATACAGAGTAAATAATTAAAAATAGGTCTGTTTTGTTATGTAAATGCAGCCATAGAAAAGATGTGAAGAAGGCAAGTGTGTTCTTTTACAGTAGGCATCTGGGAGCCAGAGAGATATCCTAGTGATTATGAGCACCGTGCTGCTCTGAGAACCCGAGTGCTTCCCAGCCCCATGCCAGGCAGCTGACAACTGCCTGTCCCTCCAGCTCCAGAGGAATTGGCGCATGGCATATACATGTAAATACACATACACACTTACATACAAATAAATAAACAGATAGTGCTGGGTGGCGTGGTGTGCACTCTGGAGGTAGAGGTAGGCAGATTTCTGAGTTTGAGGTGGCCTGGCCTACAAAGCTAGTTCTAGGACATCCAGGACTGTTACACAGAGAAATCTTGTCTCCAAAAATTAGAAAACATTTTCTTTGCAACATATAATTTATTTAATGAACTTTTTTTTTTGGAGGGGGGGTGCATAGACAGGGTTTCTTTGTGTAGCATTGGCTGTCCTGGAACTAGCTCTGTAGTCCAGGCTGGCCTTGAGCTCACAGAGATCCACCTGCCTCTGTCTCCCCAGTGCTGTAATTAAAGGTGTCTGCCACCTCCTCCCAGCTTAGTTAATGAACTTAAAAAAATTTTTTTTGCTATATATAATTTATTTAATGAACTTCTACAGTTTTCATTTAATTAGTACTTACTGAAAACATGTGTGTCAGATACTGGGACATGCTAAAAAGAAAAGCATTAAAAGTCCGTATTGCCCAGAGAACTTACTTTCTATAAGAGAACATAAACAGAGACAACATAGTACATTATAGTTAGTACTGTGGAAAAAGAGCAGTGACTAGGGGGAGAGTGACTTTATATGGTGCCATTAAAAATCATATTGTAAAAAAAATCATTATGCACAGTCCCCTGAAAATATTTATATGGTAAAATATATGCGGTTATTGAATTGGGGAGGTAGCTCTGTCTGTAAAGGCCTAAGTTGCAACCCCAACCCATGAAAAGGAGTTTGGTGTGATGTCAGTGCTGCCTAGGTAGAAACAGGCTTGCTGAGCAATATGCAGAATTGCCAAGACAGACCAACAAATGAATTCTCTCTCTCTCTCTCTCTCTCTCTCTCTCTCTCTCTCTCTCTCTCTCTCTCTCTCTCTCTCTCTCTCTTTCTCTCTCTTTCTCTGTGTGTGTGTGTGTGTATTCACAATACAATACTGTTCAGTCATTAAAAATAAAGAAATTTTGTCATTGCAACACGGTGAGCTTGGAAAACATGCTTAAATGAAATAAATAAACTAGACACATAAAGAGTTCCTCACAAGTATGTGAAGTCTTAAAAAGCCCAAACTCAGGAGTAGAAAGTATGAAATCACAGCTTTCAAAGAAGCTGGTGGCAGGAGAGGCTGGGAAAAAGAGAAGGCATAGGATATATTTAGGAAAATGAAAAGGCATAGGATCCATTTGAATAGGCATGAGATACATTTAGGAAACGATATGTGTGGCTGGAGTGTATGAAGGGAGGGAGTTAGAGTTAGTTTGGATCAGGGGCATGACATGCCTGGAGCCTTAGAAACAGTAAGAGGAGATTTCAATGTGAGTTACACTAAATGGCTGTGGGAATAGAGACATCACTGGTTGGACACTATGAAAAGTGGAGAATTTTAGATGAATTTAACATTTCCTGCCTATATAACTAGAAGTATAGCAGTAACCTTTTCAGTGTAGGTAGAAAAAGGAATGAAGAAAGGTATTTTTTAAAAACTGGACATTCAAAGGAACAGGTCTCCTTGTGGCATTTTTTACACACTTCGTTTTGGTTGGTTCTCCCCATTCTTCTGTGCCTTATCCCTTCTGTGCCCTAGCATTTTGGCATTCCCTCTTTCCACTTTGATGACACATGTGTCCTATCGGCCCTCTCTGCGACACTTCCTGTTGTTTTCCCTCTCACAGCTCCCTTTCTCCTTCCATGACCTATACCAAACCCCTCTTAGAAACATGCACATATATAAAAATCCAAAGCTACATTCTTTTAAAAGTTTGGATCTCTGAGTTCGAGACCAGCTTGGTCTACAGAATGAGTTCCAGGAAAACCAGGGCTACACACAGGAACACCCTGTCTTAAGAAACACAACAAAACAAAAAAAAAAAAAAAAAAGAAAGAAAGAAAGAAAGACAGACAGAAAAAAAGAAAAGAAAATTGAAAGTAAAGGCTGGAATTCAAGATTTAGGAGTCATAGTTAAGACTGGTTATTATAAGCCAAGGTGTAGTGGCACACACCTTTAACATGAGCACTTGGGAGGCAGTGGATCTCTCTGAGTTCTAGGACAGCCAAGGCTACACAGAGAAATACTGTCTCAAAAAAAACAAAAGACTGATTATTGTAACACTAGAAAGTAATAGTTTTAAGTACTATAACATATAAAAATACTATTTAAGGATACAGTATGTAAGATTTACCAAATGTAAAAACTAAGCTTTGAAATTAAAAGTAACAGCCTTCACAACTAAATTCCAGAAGTTGGGTTAGGGTTTGACAAACATATCCTAGAGTATGATATTTCAGCTGGAACCCCCTGGTAAGTGAAATTTTTTTTATAGTGTTGTTTTCATGTTGTGGAGATGATACATATAAAGAGAAGTAGTTTATTATTTAAAATAGTTAACCTTTTATTGTAAAAAAAAAAGTTAGAACAAGTTGTTATTCAGCAGACTGTAGGAATGGTTTTTATTTCTCTGTGACACTACATTTAAGTAAATTCATATTTCCTTCTGCCAGGAAATAACCTATTTATGGTTTCTGCTGCCCATCCATAGACATTTTTTTCCTATATTACATTTTTAAAAATCTCTGTAGCACTAAAAATCTTGTAAGGTTTAGTTAAAAAATGAAAACAGTGTGTAAGCTGTGATATGAAGAGTCCAAATTTGGGAATGTAATTCCCTCTATGATTGAAAGAAATGCGGTGAAGTTTTTATAGTAACACTTAAAATATACAAGGAAAGGCCCATACTACCACAGTTCTTCATAGCATTCTTTTTAATTGGTTGTTTTTTTAAACTAAGGTAATTATTGTTAGATGCCAGTCAGGTCCTAAAGTAAAAGGAGTTTGAAGATAATTAAATTCTTGTGGTCTGAATTCCACACAGGAGTTCGGGTTGATTATTACTCATTTGGTTTTTCTAATTACTGAGCTGTAACACCTAAAGCACTGTACTCCAAACCCTGGATCTATGCAGACTAAACTGCTGCTGATAGATTTTAAAACTGTTAATGTATTTGTAAATGAATGTATAGGTGAAAATATATTGTAAAAGATCATTTTACAGCCGGGCGTTGGTGGCGCACGCCTTTAGTCCCAGCATTCGGGAGGCAGAGGCAGGTGAATCTCTGTGAGTTCAAGGCTAGCCTGGTCTACAGAGTGAGTTCCAGGACAGCCTCCAAAACAATACAAAGAAACCCTGTCTCAAAAGATCATTTTACAAATAACACAAAGCCAGACATAGTGGTGCATGCCTTTAATCGTAGCACTTGGGAAGCAGAGACAGGTGGACCTCTGTGAGTCTTAGGACAGACCGGTCTACAGAGTGAGTTCCAGGACAGCTAAGGCTGTTAAACAGAGAATCTCTGTCTTGAGAAAACAAAACAAAATCTTGCCTTTTTAAGCACATAACTCTATAAATTCTAAGACCTGACAACTCACTTTTTAGATATTTTTATATTCCATAAAAACCAAATATATTTGATTTGCCACAGTATATATATTAGGTAGAAAAATTTTTGTCCTCATGTAACTAGATAAAAGCAAGAGGATGTAAATATAGAGAAAAATGGGTCAAATCATCATTATTTAAATATTATGTGATAGATTGTTTGTAATCAAATAGAAATCCAAGAGAATAAAGAGGTAACTTTCAGAACTGTTAGGTCAAGAATGTTGTAGATGGTGGAAATGCTTTTTAAATGCTATTTAAAACAAATAGTCAAAAGAATAAGAAAACTGGTATTTAGCATGAAAAATTTTACTTTACTAAAGAAAAAGAACCTAACAAGTAGACATAACTTTCAACATTATTAAAAGTTTATAAAATGTACTACCTGTGGGAGTAATCTAATATTTTACAGGTTTATTTTATTTTTTATTTTTATTTATTTTTTATTTTTTTGGTTCTTCGAGACAGGGTTTCTCTGTATTGTTTTGGAGCCTGTCCTGGAACTCACTTGGTAGACCAGGCTGGTCTCAAACTCACAGTGATCCGCCTGTCTTTGCCTCCCAAGTGCTGGGATTAAAGGCATGCACCACCAACGCCCGGCAGGTTTATTTTATTTTATGTGTATGAGTATGTATGTATACAACGGACATTACATGCATGTATGTTTACCATGTGCATGCCTGTTGCCCAGGGAGGCCAGAAGAGGACATTAGATCTCCTGGAACTGGAGTTACAGAAGGTTGTGAACTGCTACATGGGTGCTAGGAACTGAATGAGTCCTCTGAAAGAATAATATGGGCATTTAACAGCTGAGCCATCTTTGCAGTCCCTTGAAAGTGATATTTATTTTAAATATATGTCATATGTCAACATTGTTTTAGTAACATTGTCGTATTTGTGATAGGAGATAGGAAATTCTATACTTACTGTAACTACTGATTTTTTATTTATTATTTTTTACTTGTAATGTCATGTTAACTCAAAATAGCAATTGCTTAAATAAAATTGAAGTTCTGTCTCTTACACTTTAAGGCCAGTTTGAAACTTCACAGTCAGATTCTGATTCCTTCTGTCTTTCTGCTCTACTTTCGTTGTATTAACATCCATCTTTTAAGTCATCTTAAGGCGCAGTGCAGTTACTAAACCTAATTTGATACAACTGGAGAAAAGGAAAACTAAGGGGTGAATCTTTTTAGGAGCTCTTGTATAGTCCAGCCAACAAGTCTGATTATCTCTCATTGGCAGAACATGGCCCAATGAGCACACCTGGCAGCAAGAAAGTCCACATAATGCATTCTTGTAGCTGAGAGCCTTGATGCCTTTAGAAAAATCAGAGTTACGTGTGAAAGAAGGGAAGATGGATATTGGCAACTAGCAGATACTACTTTTTTTCCTTTTTTTTTTTCTTGGCAGTTTCTCATGGAGCCCCAGCTAGTATGTACTATCTAGGCCAGGCTGGCCTTGAACTCTCAGAGATCCTCCTGACTCTACCTTCTGAGTGCTGAGATCAAAGGTGTGCGCTACCATGCTGGGCTCACCAGAACTCCTTTTATTTTTCAAAAAGTTGAATTACAAATTGCTGTTTCACATACAAATGTTTACATACTTGTGTGATCTTTATTTTATATCCCTTATTTGATCTCACTATACTTTAAAATTGGATTCTCTTTGGGGCTGTCTGGTAAATCATGTGTATTTGTCTTTATTACTATTCATGATGGTACCATCTTAAGAAATGAGTTTCCTTAGTACAAATGTTGCTATGAGCAGTGGTGGCTCATGCCTTTAATTTGAGGCAAGCCTGGTCTACAGAGTGAGTTTCAGGACAGGCTCCAAAGATACATAAATACATACATACACATACACATACACATACACATACACATACACATACACACACACACACACACACACACACACACACACACACACACACTACAATTTAGGTGGGAGTAGTCAAAAGTTTTATTGTCCTTTATATTCTTAGAAATTGCTTCATGTTTGTTCATTTTGCTTTCCAAAATTTATTTTGTAAAAACCATTTATTTAGATTTCCTGCTTCTGTAATCCATAGTGTTGTTGTAGTTATAGTCACTATGAAAATAAATTTTAAAAATCACAAGAGAAGTAAACACTTGGCAGTCACACAGAGGTTGTTTACTGGTGAAAACATGGCATGCGCCATACTAGCAGCTTCTTTATCTTTTGTTACATTAAAAATAAATTGCTCTAGTTGGGCGGTGGTGGCACATGCCTTTAGTTCCGGTCTACAAGAGCTAGATCCAGGACAGCCAAAGGCACAGAGAAACCCTGTCTAAAAACAAAAAAAATATATATTAAATTGTTCTATTGATGTATGAAAGCATGTACTTAAATGGAGTTTTAGCATGTTGTAGAATGAAGAAAGAACGTCAGTAAAGAAAAGGTTATTCAAAGGTATATTTGGAATAAGATGTAAAAGACAGTGGTTAAGGGTGAGAGAGAAAACAGGTGTTCAGAAAACTGGAGTTGCTCTGTGAATCTGTCAAAGAATGCTATTAACATGCCATGGGTCCAGTTTATATTAAAAGATAAATAATGGTGAAATTTGAGCTATTGTTCATTTGAAAATTTTGTTCATTAATAGAAAAAAGAGAATGGTATTAATGGGTTTAGTAAAAGTCTCTTTAAGATAGAGGGTACATTTGAGGGGATTACGATCATATAACAGACCAAATTCCAAGAATTTCTTAGAACTGTGCAGACCGTGCATGATGGGATAGCCATCTGGGGGTCTTTGTTGATAAACTGTTAAAAACGTTTCTAGTGTGAATAGCCACAAACATTTTCAGTGCTTTTTTGTTGGTTGAGTAAACCGAAGAGCACGAATGCAAAAGCAAAATTTGAAGCCAAATCACAGAAGTTGCCATAAACACAGAAGTTCCCTAGTGAGGACACTGCCTGTGCCTGAATTTCATTTGTTTTTGCTGCTGCCATTTCTTAAGTTTTCCTGGGGACTAGCCAGATTAGAACTGTGAGTGAAGACAGACTAGTCCTGCCCAGATGGTAGATGAGATCTAGGTGACTTAGGTAGGGAGGCAATACTGGGGACCTGGATGGCATGACCTGGTCTGTCTTATACTGGAAGAGATGCTTCCATCTCCTGGTGTGGGGGTTTGCAACCTTAGTGTATGCCTGAATCTGCAGCTGCTCCTCCTCTCCCAGATGGCACCCATGGCTGGGAGTACTTTTTACCATCTGCACTTCTCAAAGAGTTTGTGAACTCTCTTTAATTATTGGGGATAGAAAAACTAATTGGTAAAGTGGTTAAATGTTGTACAAGATTTTAAAATTTTATCCGTGCTTTTTATATCCTATTTGTCCTTTCAAATAATATTGAAAAGCTTTAAGTGCTTTTGACTTTCATCTTTGTAAATTTGCCATCTTTGATACTTGCATTAATCCAAAATATTCTCTAATGGTTATTTATATGCAGATTGGTATTTTGAGCCAAATTCCAAAAGTATTGCCTCCTTCCAGTACTGTAGTAAGTACTGTTGTTGCCATGTGTGTAGAACAGATAACACTGAATGGGTATGGAGTACACACTTAGGAGACTTGTTCCATTCATCTAACATGCTTTCAAGTCAGCAAAGGACAATGTCACAATTGTGAAAGTAATTTAGAAAGATAAACTATATCGCCTATCAGTGCTTCTAATTTTACAAGGCATTGAAAAGTAGGAAAAGCAATTTCCTAGTTAGAAATACTTGCATAACCAGCAGAGACTAATAGAGTGACATCTGACTTGGAAAATGAACATATTCTCTGTCTGGGGAATTCTAGTTGGAGTGTTTGTGACTTTTATTTTTCCTGCTTTCAGGTTTGAATGTAATTCCTAATATGTTATAAATAAGCACCCTCCAGTAATCAGCAGACACAGGAGATATTCACCATCTTTTCTCTTTAGGCAAGTTCTACTGGCGAAAATTCTCTAGATAGTTTGTCCATTTATAAAATTAGACACTTGCCATCTTTGCTCATTTTCAAGTTCTCTGTTTACAAAACTATTAAGAAGGTGTGAAATACAGCCAAACTTCCCAGTTTATGGGAAGTGTCTGATGATTGCATTTCCTACATGTTCATTGTTCACACATGAAGAAATTTGGCAGCTGTGAGATTATTAAGTTTAGAGTGTCCAAATCTAATCCTCCCTGGGATTTCGGTTTTCTGCTTTCTGACACTACTATTTTACCCCCTTTCGTAACCATCTTTGTGGTAAATGCTGTGGTAGCATTTTTGGAGGTAAGCGATCATTAAGTTTCTTCATCTTATGTTTATCATATGCCATGAATAAATTATAGATCACAAGTTCACCAAATGCAGGTTCTGTCTTTAGGCTCTAAAAGCCACACTATCCAAATGCAGATTTCTTCAGGATGGAATGCTCTGTGAAGGCTTGTGGGATGTGGTCATTGAGATGGCAATGCTGCAATTCTAGCCTAAGTGTTCTAATTATTGTGAGGTTTTCTACTACAAAGCTTATTCTAAGTCACAAAGAATTTGTAGTTAACTCTAAAGTAGTAGAAAATGGCTTTTCATGTGCTGTTAATTTGATTTTTAATTATTATCTTTTGGGAGGGACATTTTAAGATGGGGTTTCTCTGTAGCTTTGGAGCCTGTCCTGGAACTCACTCTGTACACCAGGCTGGCCTCAAACTCAGAGAGATCCACCTGCCTCTTTCCCGAGTTCGTGCGCCGCCGCCACCTGGCTTTTAATTTCTGTAATTAATTTGATGCTAAAAACTTGAAATTATTTCTTTGTAGTTACTTCATGTGGAATTGAGTTTTTTCCCTAATGTATATTGTAGAGATTTAAAGATATGTATGTAGAGATTAACTTATGATGGCATGAGTTAAGTTAAAACCCAACAAATCTTTTGATCCTTAATAATATTAAATAGGTACTAGATATACACAGGTTAGATTGGCAAAATAAATGAAGGAGAAATGGGAACTTGAAAGGGGGAAGCTATTGGGATGCAAAGGGCATTTAGTAACAAAGAGGCTACCCCAAACTTTCATCTCCTCATCTCTTCAATGCCATTTAGTGATCCAGTGCTGTTTTCTGGTATCATTTACATATTTTAAGTGTTTCTAAATTATGGGGGTAAAGATTTTCATTACGCCAAAGATTGTTCTGGTTTTGTTTGAATGAAAGACGCTCTGTGTGAAAATTATGATCACCTTTGCTTTGGTGGTGTTCTTCAGTGGGAAAAGTAAATACAGAATCTGAAACTCTGTCCTTTGTGTTCATCCACAGGCTGTAGAAGAAGAAGATAAGATGACACCTGAACAGCTGGCAATAAAGAATGTTGGCAAGCAGGTGAGGAGACTGTAATAGGTTATTCAGTTGTATGGTAGTATGCTCTTGTAGTGTTAAAACTATTTTAGGGACCATAGTTTTTTCTTGTCTGTTTATACTACATCTTTATTCTGTCATTTAAACACAGTAAATTTTAAAGGCTACTATATTTTTATTAAATATCAAATTCTCTTTGCTATCTGTAGAGAAGAAATCATAAATTACATACTATCCTTAGTGAAAATAGTATACTAAAAATAAAGGACACTTTAGTCCTGAGATTATTTTACTGTAGATGAGGTAAAATAAAAAGGATGATAGATTATTTTACTAATAACCATCTTCTTAATGATACATTTATCAATAGGTAGGTAGTATTCCTGCAGATTTACTTCATATGTAACCATTTTTAAAGGTATACTTTGTTACTATATAGCTGATACCCTAACCCTGAGACAGTTTAGAATTCTATTGACTGAACTACTGAACTGTGAGAAAGGGTTTAAATAGTGATTCTTTTGCTCTTCTAATATGAAATATATATTTAAGCCTAGTTATCAGAGGATGGGGGGAACACACCCAGCAATTAAAAGAATCTACAGATTAATTAGACTGTTTTTCTAAAGAATGTTGATTACATTTTTCCCCATTTCATGGAACATGGTTATCATATTGCTGATGTTGGCAGAATCGTGATATTTCAGATGCAAGACACTAAGCTGTCTTTGCTTTCAGCCATCCTACCATATGCTCTGATCCCATCACATCTCACAAGCTATGTAGGTTTGGGCCAGGACCATTCTTGGATGGGAAATCTCTAAGAATCACCCAGCTGCCACAAGTAATGTGGATAACTGATAAATGAGTTACTGGTTCACTGTAAAACCAATTAATCCAGCAGAGTAGTAGGGGCAGAGGTCTGACTTTATCATAAATTTTAAAGGAAGAACTCAAATATGAGTATGTTATAATTATTGCAGTTTAAAAATTAGTGCCCTCAAACCAAAATAAAATGAAGTTCATCTTATTTTCCAGTCTGTGTGATATCAGCCTTGTTTTCATTTTCTACTGCTTATTATCATCTAATATGTTAGATTACCAATTTGGAGCAGTACACTCTCTAGAACTCACTAAATACATTACTTTCTGAGGCTGTGGTTTCTTAAGATACATGTTTTCCTTTAATGACTCACAGGAAAATGAAAGGGCTAAATTAACATTGAAACTTGTGTGTGTGTGTGTGTGTGTGTGTGTGTGTGTGTGTGTGTGTGTGTGTGTGTGTGTGTGTATATATATATCTGATGAAGTTTAGAAATCATTAGGATCACCAGGCGATGGTGGCTCACACCTTTAGTCCCAGAACTCAGGAGGCACGGGCAGAGGATCTGTCTCTGTAAGTTTCAGGTCAGCCTGGCCTGTGAAGAGTTCCAGGTTAGTTAAAGCTATACAGAGAAATTCTGTCTCAAAAAAGAAAGGAAGCCATTAGAATCGTGGTGGGTTTTGTTTTTGTTTTTTGTTTTTAAGGCAGAGTCTCACTGTGTAGCCCTTGCTGTCCTGGTACTCACCATGTAGATCAGGCTGGCATCAAAGTCGAAGAGATCCTCCTGACTCTGCTTCCCCAGATGCGGGGATTACGGGCCTGAGCAAGGTACCCATGGCTTGCATTTCTCTTATGGGCTTTCTTGGTGCCTTCACCTGGAATGTGTTTAGGTTTAATCCCCAAATAATTGTGTAGTTCAGTCATTTTGGTTACTTGTAGCATGTGTTCTCTCAGTTGTACGTTGAAATTATGGATAAGAAAAGCAGAGCTAAAACTTACACAAGCCAGGAAACAAGATTTGGGTAAAGTAATGAATCCTAGGTATTTCAAAACACATGTAAGAAAATAATGCTTTAAAATTATTTCTTATTGTATGTAATATTTACCTTATTTTAAACTTTGAAATTAAGCTGAAATAACTTATTTGTCCTTAAACATGAGTAACCATTTAATTTTTTTATAGTGAAATTTTAAGGTTCATCTTTACCTTGACGTTTTTAAAAATGGATCTGATCTGGTTTAAGAATCATGTCTGTATAAGTTACAGTGATACAGTTTTCCAGAATATCTGGATGAAGCATTCTTAACATTTTAGAATTAGTCCAAATTATATTTATATTTTTCAGTTACAGTGGCTTTTGATCTGAGAATATTTCTGAATCACTTTCTTGAAATATTAAGATTTTACAGAATTTTATTTTTACAAAGATAAAACAATTCCCATTGCATGCTTACCCACTCCTAAAATAGAGTATCATCAGACATTAAAATACGTTAATGACAGAATGTACATACTACTCACGTACACATGATAAGTGTACCTTTTTAAATTGTATGATTATGAGTTTTACCTGTTACCCTTTATGAAAATCTATGGTACATATCTGCAACTAGCATTGATTGCACAAATCATTCTTTCATTGGGTAATTTTTAAAGCTTTTTTAAGAAAACAAATTTAGAAATCTTAAGAATGTAACAATGTGTAAGTAAGTTGAGTGATAAAATATGTAAATTTAGGCTTATTATTAATTTAATCTGCTCTTGAAAAAAAGCAGCTTACCAGTAATACGGCTATCTTTTTCTTTCACCTTTTTTTTCTTTTAGGATCCCAAACGTCATTTGGAAGAACATGTGGATGTGCTTATGACTTCAAATATTGTCCAGTGTTTGGCAGCAATGCTGGACACTGTTGTGTTTAAATAAACAATGTAGAGCGCTGTCAGTGACACTCTCGTGTATTTCCCTTCATTGTTCCTTCCTGTTGCTTACAGTCCAGGGAGCTCTGCAGCTGATGTGGTGGCACGAAAGTCACCTGTGCCACCCTCCATCTCACTTGTGCAGCGGCTTCTGCTTATTTGTCAGGTTTTGCAGATTCCAAAGTTGTTCAAGAATACATCAAAGTGGACAAATTTTGTTAAGATCCCATTTACTATTTGAAAAAAATCAGTAGCACAAATATATTTTGATTGTTGCTTACAAAATAAAATCCATTTACAATCCATGTCTCCCGAGGTCTTTTTGGCACTGGGTGGAAGTGACAGAATAGCATTTGACAGTGCTTTGGAAGTCACACTCAAAGCTATCCTTTTCTTTGCGTTTTGAAATCTTATAACACATGAAACATCACTGTGGTGACAAAATTTCACAAATTAGTGATTGCCATTAGTGAGTGACTTTCTCATTAGTGAGTAACCCAGATAAAATACTGAGCTTTTTTAAAGTCTTTCTCTCAAGCCAACATTATATATTCATATCTTAACATATTACACTTTCAGAATTTCAGAAAAGTACACTTAAAAGGCGGACAATCTAATTTTAAATTCACAATTTGAATAGTGTATTCTACGAACAATTTTGAAACTGTCTAGAAGTTGGCTGCTGGAAACACTACTAGTTTTCATGTAACCTAGTCATGGAAAGTTAAAAAAAATCCTAGTGTGAATTGAATATCATACGCTTATAAACAATAGTTTTGTTTCCTTTCCTCAATTAAATTGAAGTACTCAGTGTTTGACATAACGTTGATTATTGGCAGTTCTCATAGCTTCTTACCTAAAGAAAATGGTCAATACCCTCCTTGTTTATACTTACTGAAAAACAATTTAGTGAATACCCTGAGTAGTATCTAACATTATGGAGACAAAGATATTCTAGGTTGTACCCTTATGAAAATATGGTGGAAGTATTTCTAATACTTTGAAAGGAAGGTTATATTGGATAGCTTTGCCTACTGGGGATATCATGAATGCCATGGTATACCCAAATAGTGTCCTAATTCAACAATTCTATCTGTGCACTTTCCATCTGATGAAATTATCAGAAACTGAAGGTAGAGTTGTCTTAAATGTCCAGTATGTTTCAGTGTCTTCTTTTCTTTTTCTCTTTCTGTCTTGTCTTCCTTCCTTCTTTCCTTCCTTTCTTTATGGAATGATGTGTTCTGGGTACTTCTTGCTTGTTCTATAGGTTCTTTAGATGCAATAATAGTATTTTGTTAACTGCAGCATTACGTTATTAAGATCGCATCTCATCATTTAAAATTAAAATAAATAGAGGGTAGAATTTACCCCCTTTGATTCACACTTATGGGCATGTTTTTTGTTGTTGAATTTTTATTTTTTGTAGATAGAGTTTTCACTCTATAGAGTTTTCACTCTTTATAATTAAGTGCAATGATAATTTTCACATATCATCGAAGAACTAGGGGTGTGTGTGTGTTTCAAATAGAGTATGCCCTCAGCCAGGCGGTAGTGATGCACGCCTTTAATCCCAGCACTGGGGCAGCAGAGGCAGGCAGATCTCTCGTGACTTCGAGACCAGCCTGGTCTACAAGAGCTAGTTCCAGGACAGCCTCCAAAGCCACAGAGAAACCCTGTCTGGAAAAAACAAAAAACATAACAACAACAACAAAAAAGAGGTTTCCTTAATTTTCACTTAGTTTCCTGAAAATACCCCAGGTCAAATGCTGTGGCTAGGAAGGCCTACCTGTCCTGTCTTGCTCTTATTTGGCCTTGTGGACTTTTCTTGATTTCCAGTAGCCACCCACCACTTCCTTTTCTTTTAGCCTGCTTCATGTTGGAAACAGTACCAGTCTCCGAAGCTTCACACAATCAATCCCTCTTATCAAAAATAGTTTTTTTTTACATTTTTAAGTTGATCAAAATCAGGTCATTCTAACAGCCACTCATGGAATACCTTTGTCTAGTAATACATAACCATTTTATCAGCTTGATACCTTAGGCACAGTTAGGCATTGAACCAACTTGTTAAACACAAACTAGATACTCCCTCAACCTCTGCTACCCCACTGCCCAGCACACCCAAGTGGTGAGGAGCTAACCCTGATCCAGTAACAACCCCCCCCCCCTTGTTATTAATGCAAAGGTGTAATTCCACACTACGGAAACTGATTTGCCTGAACCAGTGTTAAGGAAACTCTTATACACAGTCCAAGTCTCACCCTAGACTTCTGTCGAGAACCTCATTTTCTTTGTGCATATACACAAAGTTCAGGGCAAACCCTCTATGTGAGGAACCACGTAATTCGGGCCTGATTACTGAAAGTGGGTCACAGTGCCTTTTCACCTCCAAATTCAATTCCTTAAAAACTAGGGAAAGCTCATACCTTGTCTATCCTCTTCACACTCTGATGGTCACTTTGGCTTTCCTTATGTTATTAAGAACCAGCATTTTTAAGAGGTGTCCAGGATGGCACAACGCTTCCAAAAGCTTAGGTGACACCCCACCCCCCCTTCCATATGTACTTAGGGCTCTGTGTCAAGCTCAGGGGGGCAACATGAGGTGAGAATCAGGAGGGAGAGGAGAGGCACTTGGTGACAGAAGCTAATGATGCAAAGAGGAGAGAGCACAAGCAACTCAAATGGGGCAAAAGTAGCTGCAAAGATTAAGGTAGGAAAATATCTAACACCATCACAGATACTCATCACCACCACCAACCCGCTGCTCCTCCAGTGCCTGAATAGCTAAGATCCTGCCTGTTTATGAAGCTTCCTGCCCTGGAGCTGAGGTTTGCTTTCAAAGCGAAAATGAGTCTGGTGTTATTTTTCTCCCAGAAAATTGCTTCTACTTGATTGTGAGACATCTGATCAACCTGTCCGGCCTATGGCCACCAGTGCGTGACCTTGCCCCTGCGCCCTTCGGAGGCCGAAGCTGGTACCCTCTTGCAGGCACAGTGCCATAGGCTCGGCACTGGCAAGGCTATACACTAAACACCACAACATACCGAATCAGTTAACCCTTCTCTGACCATGCCTGAGTCCCACCCCTCTTTCCCAGCATTGGGCTCTGCTGCTCTGGCCGGGGGTACTCGGGCGGCTGGATTGAAGGCAGAGACCCCACTTGTGTGCAGCACGGATGGAGTGTGAGCCTCCAGGGTCCGAGCCTGACGCGGTCGTCTGGCGTTCTCAGTCTCCCGGAGCCTGCCGCCTCTTGACCACCTTGCTGGCCCGAGCTGAGCTAAGCCGGGGAATAGCTCCGCATTCCTGCGCCTATCGCCTTCAGGGAAGAAAGCTACAGAGCAGGTTGGCTGTGCCTGGCCACATGCAGCAGCTCTGGGTTTGTAGAGTCAGGTGTGTTCTGGGCTTGAGGCCGGCGGCTGGCCTCCCGTGGAGCAGATACTGGGAGATCTTTTTCCCCAACATCTATCTCAAAGTTGCTTGGGGCCTCGTGTTATTCGTGCCAAAATCTCTTGAAACCGGTTCTTTTCTCTAATCCTTTCAAAATTACTGGCATGGATTCTTTTTCTCTCCCTCTGGATTATGTAAACATTACACCACACACACACACACACACACACACACACACACGAGTTCAGTAAGATCACTGCGTTGACACCACTTCCACTCTGTCTCCCCAGATCAACGCTTCTAGCGAACCCATTTGCACTGGGGATTCAGCCCTCTTTCCTGGCGAGGCTTATGAACCTGTCACCCAGCCAGTGCCTCCTAAAGGAGGAAGTGCGGTGGGACTCGAAGGATACATGGCGCCCGCCCCCAGCTAGCTGCTCTTCAGATGATCTGCAACCAAGTTGGCTGATAAAATATTTAGTAGCGACCCAGTAAACATGACTGCAAATACATTAAAGCACTTCAGCGCGGCGACGGCTTATGATTATTTCAAAACTTAAAAAGGAGATCATAGATTGTCACTGTTTCTGTACCCCAGCCGGAAACCGAACCTTCCCGAGGTGGGTTGATGGGTGGATGAGCTGCTTCGCCTCCCCTTCTTTCTCCAGCAGAACGCTGAGGCTTTCCGCGGCGGAGGTTTGTTTATTTATTTATTTAGTCCTGTAGTTTAAAGGTGGGGGAGGGGGCGTCAAGGACACACAGTACCGACTCACAAAGCAGGCTCAGGTGTGTGAGCTTCTGTGTATTAACTGGAAAAGACAGACTCTGGAAGTTTTACAGGGCGAGAAGAGGCCACCGGCTCGCGCTTTGTATACTTTGCACTTGAAATCGTTACATTCAACTGAATATTTGGCTCATTCAGATCCGAAAAGTCTCCTAGCATCATCGAATTCCCTCCTCCGCCCCTCCTCTCTAAAGGGGGGGGGTAGAAAATGTTTAGTAAATTGCACATCTTTGAATCTTCCTAAAGCAGTGGTCACAAAGCTTAAAGGTGACATAACAGAGCTCACGTAAACCAACACACTTCCCCCACCCCCCAAGCCAACAATAAAATCATCCCCTTCAATTTGCCATGATCGTCGCGACCAGGAGCCAGGTGATTATCCTAATTAATGTCTATCTAATTAAATTACTGTCAGCAGCTAACCAATGGCAGGAGCCGTTTCATCGGCTGCATAAGCAGCAAGATCAAAAGTGAGCCTTTTCTGATTGCTGCATAGTGTCAATTGGCCAATCTCTTCTCCCAGGGAAAAAAAAAGTAAATCAAACCTTTGAGAAGCATTTGCTGGTTGAAGTGCTTTCTGTCTAGTGAGGGGTCTGTGGATTCCTAGTTTATGATAAACAGGACTTTAAAAACCAGGGACGAGAGGGCGAGCGTTCAGGTTCTAGAGCTATGCAGCTGGAGCACTGCCTCTCTCCTTCTATCATGCTCTCCAAGAAATTTCTCAATGTGAGCAGCAGCTACCCACATTCGGGCGGATCTGAGCTTGTCTTGCACGATCATCCCATTATCTCGACCACTGACAACCTGGAGAGAAGTTCACCTTTGAAAAAAATTACCAGGGGGATGACGAATCAGTCAGATACAGACAATTTTCCTGACTCCAAGGACTCACCAGGGGACGTCCAGAGAAGTAAACTCTCTCCTGTCTTGGACGGGGTCTCTGAGCTTCGTCACAGTTTCGATGGCTCTGCTGCAGATCGTTACCTCCTCTCTCAGTCCAGCCAGCCACAGTCTGCGGCCACTGCTCCCAGTGCCATGTTCCCGTACCCCGGCCAGCACGGACCAGCGCATCCCGCCTTCTCCATCGGCAGCCCCAGTCGCTACATGGCCCACCACCCGGTTATCACCAACGGA